AAAAAATTAATAATAGCTTTTATCCGAGAGACGTTAAGATTTTTTGAAGCTTCAATTTAATCTGATTGCGTTGGTACTTTTATTTATTATTATATTTTATTCTATATATCTTCTTCAAGGATTACGTAGTATTAGTGCAAAAAAATTTTTTAGATTACGCTTTTTATGTTTTACAATAGCTTCAGTTTCTTTGTCATGATCGTGATCGGGTATGATGAATTTCATCGAGCGTTGTGCTATACGATTGAAAAAAAAAAAAAATGATAAAAAATTGGTATGGATTGTTTTTTTTTTTGTTGTTTATTTGACTCCAATTTATCACGAGGGTTTTATATTAGGCGGTGCAAAGCGCATTGACTGCATGAGACCGTGAAGTAGGTTATTTCAGCATAAGAATGAAATATAGTTTCAAGACGTAAAAACCACGCTTCAATAATAAACCAAATTAAAAAGTAGAAAATAATTTTGAATGTTTTTTTATAAGGTTATAATAAGAATAGAGTGATAATTAATAATTTAAGTTTTATTTATTCGTGATTCATTATTGAGAAAGTAATAAATCATTAAATATTTATAAGCAGTTAAATAATATTTTTAGAAATTTCTTTTTTATTAATTTGTTAATTAGCAAAAAATTATTGAGCAGTTTTATAATTATTTCACGGGTACAACAGCTCTGTGAAATTTATTGAAATTTTGGTTAAAGAATTTAATTTGTAAATTTGATTACTTTTAAATAGTTTCTAAAAAATTAATAAAATTATTGTTTGTAAAATAAAAAAAAAAAAAATACGATTTAATAACAAATTAAAGTTAAGAGAAAAAAATAATTTTGAATAAGTTTCAATAAGTTTGAAATAAGAATAGTGACTAACAAAAAAAATCGACTTTATTGTAAAAATTTGGGGAGTGCTTAATAAAATTTTTGTATATATTTTATTGGTAGATATTTATAAAAGTAAAATTATTCAAAAAATATCTTAAAAAGCACCTTAGGCATTTTTTTTGCAATAAAATGATTTTTTTTTATTAATCATTCTATATCTATTTTGAATTTATTAACAATCATGCAGAATAATTTTCTAATTTTTAGATTGGTTTGTTATTATACCATACTTTTAAATTTTTTTTGAAGAAGGATAATATTTACTGGCATTCTATTCATAATCTATAAAATTAGTCTTTTTTTTATCCTGATGATCCTCATCAGGACATTAGGATAAAGTTATTAAATTATTATATTGTAATCAGTTTCTGAAACACGTGAAAGTCGTCAAATTTATGAGAGGTCTTAAAGGTAAAATTGACATCGAAAAATTTTATTTCATAGATAGATACATACATACAGGTCAAGCTAATAAAAGTGTAATAATAAAAACAGAATCGACTGAAATAAAGTTATAATTTAGTGTGAAAAAGTAGTATAGCATAACATAGAATCGGTGTTATTTACTTATATACCAATATAGTTAGCTGTCACGTCAAGCATCGGTTGCTCGAAGTGTGTAACTTCTTCCGGTTAGGGTTATAGGATATTCCTCGGCTGTACTCGCATAAGAATACGTGAGGAGATACAAGGCTATTGTACAATAACATCATAGACGGGCATAAGACACCCACCCTATAAGTACTAAATAACCGTTGGGCACGGACGGTATAAGGACGAGCGAATATATTTATGTGGACATTGTCTTCAACCAACGGAAATTCATAAACGATTAGTACTCGATTTGCATCATTGGCTATCGGGAGGCCGTAATGTATTTAGACATGGGAAGTTATGCTCATTATTTATTACTTTATTACTTATGACTATGACATAATAAGTATTTGAATTAATTAGCAGCTGTTATCCGTTAAGTTAAGAAAGTGAGAGCTTGCAATACAATGAGCAATTAAATAAAAATTTTTATTGAGTTAAGGAGTTAATAGCGATAGAGAGTTATTTTTATTTTTACGGCAGATAAATGCAGATGTGTAGGTAATTGGTTGTTTGAGAGTTAATTTTTTCTTAACGAGATATTAAAGTGACGTTAATACGGTCTCCGTAGATATGATAAACGCATGGCTTTGAAATAAGTAATAATAATTATCAAATTGAGTATGTATAAAAAAATTATCTTACGTGTGTTGAGTTATTTTTCAAAGCGTATAAATAACGCTGATGCTTAATTAATGTTTGAGAGCAGTATTTATGTGACTAATTATTATAACTTACCGCGAAAGTCACGTTTAGAGAATATTTTACGAGATTAATTAGTTTCTTTTTTTTTTATTGCAAGTATAATTTTGGTATTTGCGTATAAAAAAATAGAGCGTACAATGGAAATTCCTGATAATAAATTCGATAGTTTTAAGTATAAATATTTTATGAAGATAATTTATATGCTCTCTTTGTATTTTTTATTAAGGATTTTAGAATTCGAGATAATATATTAAACTGATATTTATCGTCGTGTACATAGAATGTATGAATTTTATTATTTATGATAGTTTGAAATTTTAAATAAAATTATTACAAAACCCGTTGAACTTAATAAATCGTAAGTTTATGTAATAATTTAGTTTGTTATTCTATTTTTTTTTTTTTTTATGGACAAATTAATTTTTTTAAACTACTTTAGTTATTGAGTTAATGCTGGCTGAGCGTAAAAAATATTGTTACACAACATTGTGATACAAATTATTATTTTTAATATAAAAATAAATTAATTACAAAAAAAACTGTCTATTATTATAACAGTGAAATAATTTAATTATTAGAAATTTTAATTTAATAATTTACGAGTTATATCTTTCTAATAACTTTCAATCTTTTATTTCAATAATTCGCAGTTCATAAAGCAAAGATATTATTTATACCGAGGGGACGAAAATCTTGTTAAAGCTTAATGATCAGAGGGACTGAACTTTATTCAATTAATATAAATAAAAGTATCAATTTATTTCAATTACGTTGAAATAAAGAATAAAAATTTGTCTTAATAAAAAAAAATTAAGTATCACAAATTGAATTTTTCTCGTAGAATGTCCGAAAGACGATACAATGAAAATCCAGCTCTAGATTCAAATTACATAACGATCCGATTCCTGATTTTGCTCGACAGAATAAGAAGTAAAGGACAATGAATAAAAACGGATGGAGGAGACCTCAGTGTTTCCTCAAAGATTTATTTTATTTGTGTCGTTGCGGCATCTCGTTTCAATTAGTTAAAACATTTTATTTCATTTAGTATGTCTTCTTTTGTTATCCTTTTTATGAGAAACTCTTTTAATTCAACAAACGTACAGTACCGACAGGCAGCCAGATATATACCAACTACTTCACCAAACTGATGATGTTGAGAAAGTTAAGATAGATAGGAGAAATGTGGCGAAAAAGTAGTATTCTATCCAAGTTTTCCATCGTCTCTAAGCTGTATCTAGTGGCGAGCACTCTAGGGATTTTTCCGGTACTTTTCTTTGGAATTCTACGCTGTATACTCTGAATTTTATTGTACATAAAGTAAACTCAAGTAAAACCCAAAGCAAAGACGGAAGTCGAGCTAAGTATTCTCATTTTATAGCTGTTTTATATTAGTATAATTACGATACTACCTTTTAATTTTTATATTACAGTGTCGCGAATCGATTTTATTTATACGCTTTTTATGTTGTCGTACAGATAATTTCATTATTTCCTTTATCTTGATAGCCTCGGGTTTATTATTCGAACTCGGATGTCATTATATATAACTATATAAACTTGTTGGTTAATGGTAAAAAATATCAAAATTTTTTCTACCTCTATTTCAGGTCGCGCTTTTTTAGGCCAAGTCATTTTTTCGCTTCCATCCTTGTTAATTTTCATAGTGCGCGTAAATCAATTATAATTAAGTTAGAATGTTGAACTCTGACGCTGAAAATAGAGTTTAGTTTTATATTGTACAGTACAGATGTTTTTTAAAGTAGTTAAAGAGATTTTCATGTCCATTCATGTTCGCACTTGCTGGAAAATCAATGCAGCTTCATTTGCTCTTCCGGCAGAAGCTTGATTGGGTTTTAACTAGCTTTACATTTTACACGTCAGTTATTAGATTTCTGAAGATTCTACATAAAAATCTTTATCAAAAATAGAACTTTATTTTTCGTTGCATTGACGGAGTAAAATAAAAATAAAATGACCTTTATTAAAATATTTGGAGAATGTGAGCAGTGACTTTTGGATATGTACCTTGAGACTTGAATTGGCGATTCAGAGTAGCGTTTTAACCTTGAAATAATTTTTTCCATTTGTTTACTGCACAAGAGAAATCGCGATGCGTGACAACATCTTTATGAGTATGAGGCAATTTGTTATGTAAATAATATTGTTTAAAAACATTTCTGTACAGGTGTAACTATTTATTTATTTTAAATTTTATTAATCAAATAAAAACTTTTGACGTATGAGTCGATACTCATAACTCAAGTGTGTAGATATTACTTGCGATTTATTGTATTTTTTTTAAACTATTCAAAAATAAACTTGCGTAGTAGGTACCCACTATAATTAACTTGTCAAATAATTTTTTTTTCATCCAATTAAATATTTTTTTTTATTTTTAAGTAATTCAAGTAATTAAAGTTTTCAATTGATCGAGACTTTCATCACTCATCACATTTTCAATTAATTTTTAATAAAAAATTCTGTCAAGTTAATAAAAATAATTTTTCTTTTAAATTTACATAATTTTCATGAATTTTTAATTTGAAAAAAAAAAAAAAAAAAAAAAAAAAAAAAATATTTTAACAACAAATTTATTGTTTTATCAAAATGTAAATTTCTTTTTATGAAGAAACTGCTGAACTAAATCACTTAAAGGCCATTTTATTTTTTAAGTTAACATTTGTGCAAGCAAAATGTGCTTATGGTAATCGAAATTTTTATTTAGTTGTATAAAATTTCTTATCAAAATTGAATCAATAATAAATTCATTTGCAACTAAAAACTTTTTGAATGCATTTTAAAGAATCATTAAATGGATCGAGTACTTGACTGTAATTGAGAATGAAAGACGGATATAAATAATCTTATAAATAGTCCATTAAGACAAAATTACAAATATTAAAACAGTATTAAATTTATTTTACAGAAGATCAGCACACTATGATACGAGTCAAAATGGGCAGAATACTCAAGACAGACGTAAATTACTAAAGCGAACACGAAGTTTAGCGGTAATATCTGAGGACGTCGCAAAAAGTGACAAGGCAAGTCAAAACTATCATCTTGGTGACCTTAATCTCTTGATTCCTCGGAGACCGCAGCTTATACCACGAGCTAAATTGATCGACAGAAATTCTCTGAAGGACAGGTATTCAATATAATAAAATGATTAATTAACATTAAGCAGATAAATTTTTAATTTCTATCTATCTTTAGCCTATAATAAATAAATGATATTGAGAAACGGTTATTTTAGATTATCTAAGAGCCAACAACATCTTTCGGATGGGAGCGAGAGATACCAGGAGACAAGACCCTATCACTCCCACTCGACGTGCGATCTCCATACGACACAGGCTCAATCTTATTATCATCTCGAGACACATCACAACCGCAGCGAAAGCCGTCAAGATCCCGATCGTTTGAATATTCTTAATTGGCCAAGGACTCCGCGCAGGTACAAGAGTCATCAGGATCTCGACACCGTCAGCGGCCTTGTTGATATTGTCGAAGACAATTGGCCTCTTGAAGAAATTCATCGACAGTGTGATGTATATTCACAGGTTATTATTTTATTTTCTCAGCTCGGAGCAACTCATTCCTTTTTTTATAAATAATTCTAAAGCTTGCATGTTTGTTATAACTTATAACTATTCACACAAGCATCATCACTCATAAGCGTAATGAAATTCTCCAGTTGACACTGCTAATACATATGCCAGGGTTTTTATTTTTTTGCTCCCTTTTTATAAACTTGTTACAAGTTTACGGTTAAGTGATTTATTTTAATTAATTATTTAGTAAAAAAAGAATAAATTTATGAGAAAAGAATTTGAATTAAATTTTAAATCGTCGAGTATGTAAAGCATGAAATAGAAATAAAAAAGTCGACTGCGCTTTTGGCTCTGGCATTTTATTAATGGGTGTTTGAAGAAAGATATTACAGATAGAGAACCGCAATGCGTATACATTTAATATCAGATCATAAAGAGAAAGAGAAAGAGGCGGACTTTTCCCTTTGCTTTTACTTACTTTTGTCTGTGTATATGTTTCAGCAAAGTAATGTATTTATTTGTATATTTCAAAATCTAGGTCAAACGTAAACGTAAAGAGCACAGAAGTTTGGACAGCATTTTATTCGAAGATGAGGGCGAATTGGAGTATTTTGACGTGTTGAATCTATTGCCATTGTCAAAAGTACGACTTGAACTTGACGATTCAGACAACCGTAACAGCAATTCGAGCATCTCTGTAAGGACAAACCAACTGTCACGTATCACAAACTTTGAGGAAGTGCAGGCATTCAGTGAAACTGATGAAGTGTCCGAAGACTCCGAATTACGGCACACACCAAAGATACTCCAGGTCTCTGAATTTTCCGACGACAATCAAGACAACTCTGTGCTCCTCGGAAGTAATGTCACGGATGAAGAAAAATTCAAAAGTCATACAGTAAATGGAAACGAGGACGACGCAGACAACGACAATGACAACCAAACTGGCAACGATAGCCAACCTTTCAAAGTAATCGATAAAACTCGTAAAACCAACACCGACGAAGAATCTTGGCGTAGTCTAGTCTCGTTGTCAAGTCGCGGCGCTTGGGAAACCAATTCACATCAGCATCAACATCACTATCATCACCACCATCACCATCGAGAGCCCTTGAGGATAACTGAGGAGGAAAATCAGCAAGGACAACCTGTTGAAGTGGAAGTGGAAGTGGCTGAAGAAGTGGAAGCTAGAGAGGCGCTACCAGAAATAGACAACGGAGATAAAGCAAATAATTCTGTTGAAGAGACCTCATCGAGATCTATCGATGTTGTTGATTCTCCACAATCCGCTGCTGATGATAGTATAATTTTGTTAGCTGAATCAAATGTCTCAACCGTTGATAACAAAACGATACCGGCGGACGAAAAGGAAATAGTTACGGAAATCAAGAGCACTGTGGAAATAAAATCAACTCAGATTCCTGGAATCACTGATAAACTTGATGACAAAGAGAAAATGTCGCGTAGACCACAGGTGCTTAAAATTGTTGACAATGAAGTCACACGTAGACTCAGTCATGGCACTAATAATATCGATAACGATATCGAAGATAAAAGTTGTGTAAAAAAGCACTTGGAAGTAGTTAAAAAAGAGGAAAAAGCGAATAATAATAATTTTAGTTCTGAATCCGGAGTAACAACTCCCGTAAATCCTGCAGCTGGGATCAAAGCCGATGTAAGTTATTTTTTATGTTTGTCTTTGTTGGAAGGGGTGGTATTTAATCTCGTTTAGTTTATGGCCTCAATCTAATTTACATTTCAGGAGCCGAACCAGGAATGCGAAAAGCGCTTGAGCATTGAAAGAACCAGGAATTTTTTCGAAGCCAAAAGCTTGGGGATGGAAGGGATTAAAAGTGAGTGCAATCAAGGAAGATTCGAGAGGATCGTTAAGGAAACTTCTAACATAATTGGAAAAGCATGTAATGCCGTTAAAGGGAGTCTGGGGTTTGAAGCAAGATCTGAGAGTTCTGATTTGGGACTGGGTTCTGATTGTGGAAGCGATACTAGACGTAGATCTATAGACGATGGGGATGATTGTGTAGACGATACGGGCAATCGTGGTCTCAGGAACAAGTCGCTACAGAGTGATAACGTTGAAAAATATTTGAAGCCCAAAACTAACTTAACCAGATCACACAGTTGTGTCGACTCTATAGAATCTCAAGGAACAGACGGCCCGGAATTTGATCATATCCGTTACAAAATCGTTAAGTCAAGATTATTTGGTAAGAATATTTTCAGCAATGTGCAAAACAAAAGTGAAGGCTACGACGGACTGATGGATTATTTGAGAGAATATTCTTTTCAAGAACTTTTACTCGACAATAATGTCGTAATTATTGAACCAGTACGCGCTGAACCGGTAGAAATAAAGGCTCCATCAATGCAGAATAAAAGCAAGTCAATTTCTGCTCCATGCAGCAGGGTCACAGTCGCCAATACTAATGGCACTACTACAATCAGTAACACACAAAAGAAAGGAGAGAATCAGCAATGCGATGGAAAGATTGAAAATGACGTGACAAAGAGCCCGAAGCAATCAAATCTACGGAAACATTTTTTTTACCATCCAATAAGGTATGAAAAATTTTAATTTTTTATACTTAACAGTATTTGCTTTTTTTAATTTTATTTATCTAGACTTTGTAGTTATGACTAATGAGAAATAATATTAAATAATCAGTTCGGTGAACAGGGTTAATCGGGAGCTTATAGATGAGGAGCTACCAGATCCCGACACGGTCAAGAATGTTCGTGAAATGTTTGAGGCAACTCTTCGTTCTAAAACTTTGTCACGTACAGAGGATACCAGCACGGATAGAAGCCATGGAAAACCCAGGAAAAGTGTGAGCATGAAAGATTTAAGCAGCATTGATGGACGTTCCGACGAAAATAGTGAGCGAAATTCAGAAACTTCGAGGTAATGCATTAAATTAAATAACTATTCTATTTTATTTTATCGTCTTTTCATGATCTTGCATCATAATAAAGCTGACTTTGTTTTTTTCTTTATATTTTTTTTTGGGATCACAATGTAGGTCTAGATGTTCTAGCAGAGCTAAAGATCTGACAAGACTTTTCGAGAAGCTCGATAAAAACAGTTCACGTAGTGCTCACAACGTTAAAGGGGAGATAGGAACTACCAAAAGCGATTCAAAGACAAAAATTATCGCTCAATCCTTTGAAGCACGGAGTGGAAATACTTCCCCAAGTGATTCCGGATGTGCAAGAAATAAAATAATATCTGCGACACGTTATCGACAACAGACTCACCACCGTCGTCAGCGTCAAAACCAGAACAGCTGGGACGCTGGAAGTGTGAGTTCTGGAGTGTCAAGCGATTATCCAGATACTGATCCTGGCAGCTGCGTACAATGCACATCTTCTGAGGATGAAGAGATATACTGTCGTGATGAGGATAGTTCAATGCGGAGCCACGATAATGGGCGAGTTCATGGACATTTTGTTTCTCAGGATGTTCTCAGAAAGATACGCGAATGTGGCACTTCTGTAACCTATTATGGTGGTAAGGTCGTTCAAACGTGTAATGGACCTCTCATATCACCGATGAGCAACAAAATGCACAAGAGACATGAACGACTTTTGGGTCTGGACGATTGCGTTAAATTTCGATTAGTGAAAAGCAATTCTTGCGACAGCAGACTTGAATTAGCTGGTAGAGTTATTGAAAGACGCTCCAAATTGGAAGCTAGAGAAAACTCTGCAAATAGTAACAATAGTAGTTATCATAATAATCATTATAATAATAATAATAATAGTCATTATGATGATTGTAAAAAAAAATTGGACTTGCGTACTTGCACAATCGCAGAAACACCGAGCATAGAAATCACAGCTCTTGACAGCAACACGAAGTTTGACGATGAGTCTAGCCAAACGGAAGGAAGTATCAAAAAACGCGAACCACCAGTAGTCATTGGATTGGAACCAAAAAAAGACGATAATCGTAATTGCAGTGACTTGACAGGTTTCAAAGTCAATTTTAAGCTTGGTAAAATAGATGACAGCAAATCACCGGCATTAGCTACAAACAATGGCTTCGGAAGTGCTCTTACTCGATGGCAGATCAATGAAAATCATTGGAATAAAAAACAAGAGTTCGGTAAAATGGAGTTCGAGGAGTTTGAAGTACTTGAGGATAGTTTAAATGGCGATTAAAAAGTAATATCATAAAATAGAAAAAAAAAAAAATAAAGAAATTTGTATTTTATTTTTAGTGAATTCATATTCACAGTAAATTGTTAGTTTAAATTGCGGTATGCAATGTTTTAATTAAGCTTAATAATAAATGATGTGTACTAATTGTAAGAATATGATAATATATGTATTCACGTTATAAGCGTGTATTCATATACATAAATATGTTTGGAGCATAAAGTCAAAGTCAAATCCGGTCAACGGTCAGTCACAAAATGTAAATTTACATTCATCCTACTTTAATGTGATTATACATTTTAATTAAATGCTTTTAATTTTCCTATAGATAAAATTTATTTCTTATTTCTACAATATGTGTATCTAAATATTTAAAAAAAAATTTATCATATAAAACATGTAATGGTCTGATATAAAATATATTTTACTTTTAATAATAATAACAACTAGTATTGGAATAGTCATTTAAAACTAAATGCAATAAATGCATTTTCACCTATTAACTGTCGACCTCAAGCTGTTGGCAAGTATATCTAATTAGATGTTATACGGCTTGGAGCACACATTAACCAAGTTATTTCAAGCGAAAACATTACTTTATATTTACTATAATACTTAACAGTTCGGCGACAAGTAATCAATAAACTCCCCGAGACATTTTTAATGTGTATAGTATCCCTGATATCTAATCTTGTCATCGCATTCTTTGATCTTCAATGCTTTGTGATAATATCTATTGACCTTAGCAAGTGAAGCCTCTAACTATGATTTAATCCCGGTAAATTTTTTTTCTCAATAATACAAGAAAGAATCATCGAGCAGAAGAGTCTCCGAGTTAAGATAAAAATGGACAGCAATCTGAGAGAAACGATGTGTCATTCCTCGATTCCACGATACGACATTCACTTATAATGTTGATCCGCTAAATTTACGTGAGTCATATTATATCTTATTGAAAAGATATAACTTTATGATGAAGATTAAGTCTCACAACTTCTACTCCCGTACCCGTTAGTTTTGTCTGATTAAATGAGTGTTCTTGAAAAATTCAATTTATGCAGAATTTAATCTTACAACTGCAATTAATTATAACTGTAATTCTATTTCTTGACAATATTAATATCCATCTTCTATCCTGCGCGTTTTATAGATTTATACATAGGCATGTTAAGTTGAGTTTAAATTAAATTACTGAGAGTATGTTGAGGAAGAATGTGGTAAGATTCTCGTACCCTAGCATTTTAGACCTTGTAAAGTTAAATATACGGTAATAAAATAAATAAATAACACATTTTTACCTGATTGAGTCGTACTGTCAGGTTCAACAGGATGATCCTTTTCATTTTTGGAATCCTTCAAAGCTTTTTGTTGGTGATGTTGACTTTGCTGTTTCGTGTCTTTAGACTCTTTCTGTTCTTTACTAAGAATGGGGCTGATAGTTGGTCCAAAAGTACTTGTTGTTGTTGAGAGACCTCTTTGCGAGATATGCCACCATCGTTTACACCATGTTTCCTTAAACAAAATTATCTTTGATAATTACTTTATCAACTTTGAGATCGTCCATGTATACACATCCTAATTGATACACTATAACATAAGTGTAATATAAAGACTTTGATGGTTTTATTGCCAATATGAGTATTGGTTGTAAACTAGCAAAACAAAATTCTGTGCTAACGATTTATAGTTTATGAGCATTAACTGTTGATTCAGTATTCGAGTTCCAATTAAATACAAGTGAAATTCAACTTATAATTATATTTCTGACGGCAGAAGTTTATTTTCCGTAGTTTGTATCAGTTGAGCATCTATTATTTGAGCGTGATACAGTTTCCAAACTTTCAGTTAATTTGAGTAAATTAATACTAACCAAATATATGGTAATTTATTCCAGAAGCAAAATATATAACTGAAGCTTTTCCTACTGTTTATTTGCTATTTATTTTGCTTTATTCTATCCAGTTTTAAATAAACAATTTATAACGAACAACCCGGATAAAAATGAAAACTGATGGGTGCATCTGAATTGATTTATTGGAACGAATGCAACAAAACAATTCTTCAAGTTAAATTTTTCTCTTCCATCACACGCACTGCTTCATCGCTAGAAATTCAACAGAATTCTCTTCTTTTTTTCATAATTCGAGCGGATAAATGTAAAAAAATTTTTTGTTATGTGTGTGATCATTATTCGTGCATGAGAATACAATTCTCGAGAGAGTCAGTACACACGTACCTACAAGTTCTAGTTTAATTTTTAATAAATGAATGAACATTTATAAAAATCGATAAAGCTCTAATGGAATGAATTATTTCTGATAAATTGCATGATTGAGCGAAGCTCGATCATAATTATGACGATTATATTGTTCGAAAGATCATACTTGTGGTAACGTCCCAGTACGCTTATTATTCACCAACTTTAGATCATTTACTTAAATTAAAAAATTGAAGCTCACTCTCGTCACCTCGATACTCATCTGTTCATAAAGTTCAGCGTCAAAGAATTAATTAAAAGATCACGGGTGGGTCGTTTCTTAAAATTATTAATTGTTAGTTATGGGGGTGGGAAGTGATCTTTCGAACAATATAATCGTCATAATTATGATGGAGTTTCGCTCGCCTTCGGCGAGCTCGCTCGATCATGCAATTATAACTCATATATTGTTCGAAAGATCATACTTGTAGGATGTTTAGAGTGGACTGAAATGAAATTTCATTTAGAACACACATTTATTTATTATCTGCAAAATACATATTTAATTAATTAAACAAAATACACATTGAGCATATTAATATATAAATTATTAAACTTATGACAATATTGCCTTAGCAAACTCATTATAATTTTGAACAATAGGCCTATTATAAAATTTATTAAAAACCTTCGACGTTTCAGACCAGCCTGCCAATTTCTTAATCACACCTACATCAACACCCTTAACTAAGGCTGTTGAAGTGGCCGCATGCCTGACACTATGAGGTGCATATTCAGGACCAATGCCACATTCCCTCAAAAAGGTTTTAATCCAACGGCTTATCGTGTCCTTGGATGCATCGCGATAAGGTCTTTTTGTCGTAATAAACAAAGAATTTGTTGTTACTAACATATTTGTAACATTTAAATACTTTTCCAAAACTAACACAGCACACAATTTTGGATTTTCAAAAAATTTAGGCAAAATTAATAACGGCTGACAAGCTCCTGGTCTAGAAGTCTTAATTGCATCAGAAATTTCAATTTCATAACCATTACTGGTCTTTTTTATATTATTACGTTTAATCAAACTAAAAGTTTGTTTTCGATGAGCTGTAATCAGAGCTAATAGTATATTACACTACAAGGGCAGAAAGTTGAGATTCCTGCACTGCGCGCCATGTGTCCGAGGCGAAGCCGAGGGCATCATGGCACGCAGTTCAGGGCTCTCAAATTTCTGCCCATGTAGTGTATACTATTTTTCTTGCTATGCGGTTGAAAGTACGTTAAAAAAAAATTGCGTTGAAAAAAATTGATGCTGCTGTAATATTGCCCACAAAACAAGCAAAATCCCGTATTACACAAGAGTCCAATATTTTAAATTTTTTAATCAGTTCTAAAATATGCTCTCTCTTTTTTTGCGTTAATTCTAAGGTCATTGCCCGAGAATCTAACCTAAACCCTAAGAATTGACAAATAGTAGACGGAATTAATTCACTTTTTTCCTTATTAATAACAAACCCCAATGATTCTAACATTTTTTTTGTAACTGTAACATTTTCGTTACATCCTTCAAACGTCTCATGCGTTAACCACCAATCATCTAAATATACAACCAATATCCATCCCAAACTTCTTAGATGATTAACAATAGGTTTTGTGATTTTAGTAAAAATCCAAGGCCCAGTACAAATCCCAAACGGTACACAAATATCTTCATATAATTTTCCTCTCCACCGAAATCTTAAATATTTACAAAATTTTTCATGGACAAGGATTGTAAGATAAGCGTCCTGCTGATCTATACTCGCCATAAAATATCCCTTGCCCATTAATTTCAAAACCGTTCGAATATCTTCTAATTTGAAATGTTTTGTATCGATAAAATTATTTAATTTCTTAAGATTTAAAATTAATCGCATTTTTCCACTACTTTTACGAATTAAAAAAATACTAGAAACGTATTGACCGTCAGTATAACAGCATTCTCTAATTGCTCCAATGTCTAATAAATGATTCACAGCCTCTGACATCGCTAAAACATCAGAATCAGATCCCGAAAACTCCGGAGGTTCGGAGTTTTGAACCGGAGTTGATAAAAAAGGAATTTTATATCCCGAAATAGTTGACAAAATAAAACTATCTGACGTGATAGACGACCAAGCTTGTGAAAACATTTTCAAACGCCCAGCAACTCTCACCTCTACTTGCTCGGTACGTTGTTCTGCTGATTCTGACGAGTTTGGGACATGGTTGACGAACGAACTGGTGTCTGTGGAACTGATGTTCGATTGGACCGGGAAAACTTGTTAGGGGCCTTCAGGTTGTAGCTCGACTGCTGCTGGCCTCTCGGAGTCACAGTTGAGCTCTTCCAGTTTAAATACTGGCTAGACTTCGCAGCGTTGACTTTATCAGGCGTAGACTTCAAGGATAACCCAACTTTTTCGACCATCGTAGCTGCCTTAATACGTTTCCCAAGATCTTCTCCAAAAAGAAATTTATCAGTCTTTGAATCAACCAAAACAGACTTCCGTTTTTCATCAACGTAGGAATAAACTTGATATTTTCTGGTTTTTGTGAGTTGAAACATCAACTCACAAAAAATTTGACTGGAGTCACATAACCATTCCAGCAATAAATCTTTTTCAATAGGCTCATTATTGTCATTGAAAATTGCGCAGAGAGATTTTCCAAGCGCAACTAACCCACGCCCGCAGAGATCCTGGTTTGACGCCAAATGTTTGTCTTTACTCCGGGCCGTCTTGTGCAGGAGAGGAATTAGCTCCGGATTTGATTCTGGTGCCTTCAACGAACAATTCCCCTTATCTGGGTAATTTTCCTCAAAAGCCTTCTTGACCTTTGTGTCCAGGCCAGATTCCAAAATTTCATTCCAACAAGCAACTAACTCGGGATGAAAATTAAAAGATTGATCTTTTAATTGACGCTTGGAAACACCAAGCAGCTCCGAAGCTTTTTCGCTAAGCTTTGTTGGTTGACCTTGAGTCACCGGACGTCTCTTGAGGCTCTTTTGATGTCGATTGTGAGCAATTGTCACCATCAGAGATCTCAGTCTCCAGATCATCATTCTCCGAGCCTGCAAAAGCAGAAGATCTAGGTTATAGAAACTATCATAAAGATTAGCTTCTGATGCAAAAGAATAAATAAACAGAATTTCTTCATAATTTGCATCATAACCTAGTCATTTATTGCAATTATATTGCATATTTATTAAAAACTTTAATTTAAAGTTTAATTGATTCTAATCAAACGACTGAATCAAGAGGTACAATTTAAATAATTGCCCAAGTATATAAAAAATATTTAATTTGACTACTCATTAATTTATTAATAATTACCTTTTTCAGAATTTACATCATTCTCCGAATCTTTATCACTAGATAACATCTTAGCTTCATCTAACAGTTTCTGATATTTCTTGAGTTTTTCCGCATAAATTTGCATTTTCTCAATAGAGTCTTCGTTTTCTCGTTTACTCATAATGAAAAAATAAATTTGAAAATTGAAAAATTAAATAATTTATTTAATAAAAACTTCGTTGTTTATGAGTGACGTGTGGTTTCTAAGCGCACCAAAAACGTAATGAACAGATGAGTATCGAGGTGACGAGAGTGAGCTTCAATTTTTTAATTTAAGTAAATGATCTGAAGTTGGTGAATAATAAGCGTACTGGGATGTTACTACAAGTATGATCTTTTGAACAATATATGAGATAATTGTTAACAGAGCTTATTGATATTGATTGTTTCCAATTGAAAAGAATAAAATATGAAATTGTTCCCTTGTCATATTACGGCAATAAAAAAGTATTTTCAGATGAATCAACTGATAAACCCCTATCATCAAATAATTTATTTCATTTGATGTATCATCTATCAAATAAACTTTTTTTTTTTTGTTAGGAAGTTCCAATTTATCTTCAAAATTCTCATCTACGCATGAGTACACTCTGTATGTGTGACAAGGATCGTTTGATAGCTCGAATACGTGAAAAAAGAGAACGAATATGATTCTGTTTCTTTGAACGAAATAACAAGAATTTTCTCCGTGCCATATAATCTGATAAAATTGATAAGGCTTATTGAATCTGGTACCAGTGAAAAAATCTTGATTTAAATTGATATTTTTTTTATTTACAGCTATATATAATAGGCAGAACTTGTCTTTTTTCATCAACATTTGAAATGTATTCAAATTGTTCTGGAAAACAATCATATTTCGTTTTTCTCTCTGCAGAAATACAAAAATAAATTATTCAATTGATCTTTGAATAAATTTTTTATTAAAGAAACAATTGAATAAAAAAATAATTGAAATTATGAGACCAGATTTCTTGTATTGTAGGAAGAACAGAATAATCGTGATTTTTGATTAGAACATTATTGCCTCTATAAAATGTTACTAACGGCAATTGGGGTATTACATCGGGTATTTAAATGTTCAACCAGGTCAGAAGTTTCAGGAAATACCCCAGGATATAGCTTATATAAATTATTCTATATACTGAAGTTACCCGGATTTAGAGAACCGCGCGAACGACTAAAGGTACCAAGGATAACTGTAGAAGAATTTAAAAGTTTGTTGAAAATTTAAACGTCTGATCACAAATTAAGGCTTTAAAATCTAATGAAAACTTATAAACATTTTTTAGCCGTTAAGAATTTTATTTGCATTAAATAAAAAATCTCATCTCGTTTATGTACTTGGGTATGAGAAAGTGGATCAATGAAACCCCCTTTAGAGCTGTATGAATTCAAGGGTTGCTTGTGCTTATTAATATTAATCATTTCTCAGCTTTAAATTGCATGAAATTAACACTTTATTCAAGTATTGCTGAGTACTAAATATTTTAATGGTGGAAATTTAATGAAACCGCTTAATCATGATGAAAAGCAACACTTTGCTGAATTCAATTAGATTCAAGCTGAATGTACAGTTTACTTAACTTGTAGTATAACTTTGATTTATTTTATTTTTTTTCTATTTACATTCAGACAAAAAAAATTTAAGTGAAAATTTTTAAGCTATGGTTAATGTTAACGTTACAGAGAAATACTTTCATGCAAGATCAATTTATTGTGTTCACTTAATAAGTAGATTTACATCCGATCAATGTTATTGAAGGAAGTTTGTGTTTAAGTAAGTATTTTATAGTAAAAGGTCTTTATTTCCCAACGTTCTGCACTTGAATTCTATTCACGTAAAGGTCCCGCAGGTTATCAGAGTGATATTTAGGATGTCACATAGGCTTGAGAGAACTCACACATTTAAAGAATAAAAAGTTTGCATTGTTCACCCATGAATAATGATAGATTTAAAAAAAAAAATTTCAATAGTTTTTGTTTTGTTCCTTTTTGTTCAGAATTTTTACAAATGACTGTTTTCTGACGTGTATGAATAAAAATAAAAACACCTATGATATATTCCATGATATATTATGTCGAAATATTTTTCTTTTCATTTAAAACAAGCATCATCTATTTCGAACGCGGTAATCCGTTTTGCGTGCTTGGGCTGACAATAGAAAATATTTTCATAGAGGTGTTTTGAATTTCAAACTTCATAAACTTGTTAGATTCGTTTGAGTTGTTTAGATGCAAGTTGAAGTTGGAAAGTTGGAAAAGTATACTCTCTAAACATGAATAAGTGAATATTCACTTATTTAAGTGAGAACCAAGCCACTGACTTGAAAAAGTGGCTCGATTGGCACTTAAGTTAAGTGAATATTCACTTATTTGACGAATTTTCACTAATTCAGTTTTAGGGAGTAGAAAAAAATTTGCATGATTATGTTTTTTCTTTTCAGAGTGAAATGATATGTTGAGAAAAAAAAATGAAAAAATTACTTTTAATGAAAAGCAACAGTCACGACTGATGAAAATCTTGTTGGCTTAAATTCAAAATGTAAAGTAGAAAAATGATCATTAAAGTTTACATAAATGCTCCTTTGTAAAGTTGGAATAACTTCTGGGAGCTGTGACACTGCTAGTACTTCTGATAGATTTAAATTTGTGTTAGTAAATACTGGCATACATCCAGTTACGTTTGGTACCATCGTCAGTTTAGTGTTATTTTTGTGAGTTTCAGAATATTAGAGTAGGTATTAAAGTTGTCTCTCGTCAAGCTCGCTATGCGAATTTTTCTCTTGTCGCTCTTAAAATCAAAGCACGTGCAACATCCTCTGTCTATATATACATATTTAAATATGTAAGCGTATATATTGAAGCTTGTCGTCAAGTGAACATTGATAACACTTTTTCGAGTGTTTTAATTAAACTATCCGGGTTTATATATCTATTATTTTTTTAATTAGCGATCATGAAGGAATCTCTTTGATTTCATGCACTAAAGAATTTTATTAAACTTTTTTTCATAAAGCTTGGTGTATTGTTTGCTTTTGGTATTTATTTAAAATATGGATATTGGATAAAATTTTGAACGTTAAAATAAATAATTATTCGCTCGACAGCAATTTGAATTTAAAATGATTATTATTATTATCAAACTGAATATTTATTGTATATAAAAGAGGGTGTAAAATGTAAACCTTTAGTTTTTTTTTGTCATTCGAAATTTATTCACAATCTGATGTATATTTTCAACCTGAACTATTTTTTCTTTCACGAACAGAAAAGAACATTTCTATTGATTTCTATCGGCACTCCTTTAATTCATAATTATTCAATTCCTCGATGGGTCACGGCCAATTTATTACTGTCGACAAAACGATGAAAAGAAAAAAATGAAAATAAAATAAATAAAGTATTTAACAGATAATTAGTAATGTATTTCTCAGTAGAGAATTTATTTATGCGAAGGGTGAATCTGGATCGATCAACATCCCAGTGTCAAGGCGATGCTGAGTGTAGAATAATGCAAAGGATAATATAAAGAGACATCCTATCCCCCAATATTTAGGTCAACTGAACTGCATCACATAGATTTATTCAACTGAACCGTATTTTCTCTTTATATTATCCATGACCTTTTCGTTTTACTCGGCTCGGAGAATTGGTAGACTTTTTCGGGAAAAACGAAATAGGAAATGTAAACTAGCATTAGGTGGTCTAGACTATCGAATTTTACGGTCTGTTTTCTGGTTGCCTGAATAGTAGATTCACGTGTAATGGAGAAATTGGGATGTCACCCGCGGAAATAAATAAAAATCTTTCGGTGCTTACTACTCTGTCTCTGGCAACACTATACTTTACACCGATAATAATACGGTACAGTTGAAATAAAAAATAGAATGAGTGGAAGTTTTTAAAAATAAAATAGTCACTTTCGGTAACGAACACGAGCAAAAAATTTAACCGGAACTTTTTATAAATAAAATAAAAAAATTTTCCTAACTGCTTGTAATCGGAGCCGATTCAGTTAAGTTGGATAAATGTAATGCTATATTTTTTATCCATCAACTCGCGGTCACGTGATTTACTTTGTCCGCTGTTGTACTGAGTGAATATGTGAGTATTAAATCTGTACGTGCGGTGGTCATCGATGTGGACATTGTAGACATTTTCATCAATTTCTCTATTGATTATCGATAATTATAATTTAGTGAATTTAATTAACTTTGAAATTGCGCATTATTGTTTCTTTGTACTTTGTTAGTTTCTACAAAATAAATTTAATTTATTCAACTCTAATTAAAGTTGTTAATTAATTATAAAAAATCAGATATCTCAATTCAATTATAAAAAAAAAAATAGAATTTACGATAGTATAAATGTTGGAGATTAAAAGAGATAATTGAAAAAGGTAATTCAAGGGTGATTATCAAATTTTTAGTTTCAATAAAAAATTTAACTGTTCTAGTCTACTCTAATCTACTCGATACTCGATAGGAGGAAGGTACATAAGCAAATACGGACGGATCGATACATAAACTAATGAAATTTTAGTCCTATACGATAAACATCTAACAGGATACTAAATTGTGAATAGCCCTATCGCTTAGATGGGCTTAAACACACTACATGTTCTACTAATAAAAGTGAGAGATAATAGAACCTTTTATTTATTAAAATTACTATTTTCTATGTCAACAAGTACATAATAATAAAAAAATGCCATAAAATATGCTATTGTTGTGTACTGAAATTTTTTTTTTTTTTTTTTTTTTTTTTTTTTTTATAAAGGAGGACTAAAACTCAAGCTAAAAGCTGAAAATATATAACATCTAAAATTTAATTTGATATTTATCATCTCGAAATTTCGTCACGTAATTACGTGACAAAGGATAAATAAATAAACAAAAATAAAATGAAAAGGTAAGTTTTTCGTTACGAAAGAGACATCAAAGTTCTTTATTATATTATACATAGTATCTTTCTCGCATTGGAAGATATGATAGTAAAAAAAATGAGTAAAAAGCTTAATTATTATAGAGTTTGTATACTGTCATGCAGAAAAATGTTTACTCGTCTTCGCAATTTGCTCTTTCACGAAATAACTTCCTCGCGTGACACTCAAGTATC